GCGACATGGAGTTAAAAAAAACATGTTCTTGTCAAATTTCACCAAAGTTATTCTGGTGCCACGTAATTGTCAAAAACTCAAAATGTCAAAAACTCAAAATGAATTCAATACCTACTTAATGTGAAGAAAACAATATTCTGGTTGTCTTCTTCATGGCATAGAAAGAGAATGTTGATTTCCAAAGTTATGTGAAAGCAACACATTTTTTTAACGATGATAAGGAAGCCATCTCTCCGCAGATCATAATTGCTCATACAAAAAAAAATTGATTTTCCACCATTAAAAGTAAAGTCACTGTTCGCTATCATAAACTCCAGGGATAGTGTTTCACACCATTGGAAACAGTATACAATGCAAATATAGGTGTGCGTGCGAGTGTGTAACTTTATGCTTGTGATCTCTTAACAGTGACAACAAAATCGGTCGTAGGTGAGAGCTTTTAATCAATTCCCTGACAGGCAGGGAGACCGACGGGCATGAAAGCAATCGTTAAATCACTCAATCTCCCAGCACACATGATCCCGGCGTAGATCTCTGCACCGCGCAAACCAGGATAACATGGACAAATAACCTAGCAGGATCTGATGTGTTCTTTTCTTCCAAATCCCCTATCAAACACAGAATTGTGACCTGAGCATTTTCTGATAGTTGCATGAGATACTTGATTCTCACTCTGATACCCTCTTTTTAATGTGTTTGACATTGGCATACAAAAGTTAAATCCTAGTGCTACTTCAAGAACCATTTGAAGAAGGAGTTATAATGGAATTGTTTAATTGCATTGTAACTAATAACTGTGTCGTCATATTGGGTTTTGAATCATCCTACAGAGGCAAAGTATTTAAACTGAAAACAACAGTGTGCCAAGAATGGACCCTTGAGGTTAAAAATGAGGAACGTTAAAAATGCCGTTAAAAAAGAGAAGGTAACAAGTCAACAACTGTTTCCTTGAGACGTACCCACATATCTTTCTAGACACTGAAGGAAATCAAAGCGATACATAGCTGAACTTGAGCATCTTCCCAAATGAGGCTGTCTCCTCACATACAAAAAGAAGTTGAGTAATTCCCGAATGTTGCTACCTCCATAACATCATTTGTGGGATTTTGCAAAAAAGCTTTAAAAACGATATATACTATTTGATAATGGGACAGGTAATGTCAGTCTTTCATGAGTTACTCAGTCTATACATGTAGACTCTGGGTGATTCAAATCCTGAATTGGGACACAGCATTCTAGTCTGTTTTTTTTAAAGACTTCATAAACATCATCATTCATTTGACTGGCTGTGATTTTCCAACTGTCAGAAATAGTGATGGATTAGTCTGGTTTCTGCACGTGTTGGATTCAGCTGCGGACTACTGATTCATGCGGAGGAATGTAGCCAGACCACATTTATATGACATCTTAAGTGTGAGAGCAGCACAATTGGAATGTGTTGCCTGCCATCTGCAACACAATATCCACTAAAAGCACAGGAAATGCTAATTATCCATATTTTGATTCCCAGAGGCAAAAATGTACAGACACCTTCATGTTCCTCTTTGGTTCTTCAGTAAATTGGGTAAAGCCAAAGTTGGATACGATTTATTTGATCAGCATCAAAAATAATCTTAAAAATGTAAGTGAACAATATCTCCAATGTGATTATGGTATCTGGGATTTCAGTAATTGATAAAAAAATTCAAAATTGTACTCTTACTAGGATATTGTACTGAATTATTCAAAGGTTATTATTTGCTTGTCAAGCGATGGTCTCAGCATCTTACTAATTTCCAATAGCTGTGGAAACATGTTGCATTATTAATGACAAGAAACCACCCAAAATTGAGATGAAATTATATAAATGCCACTGCAGGTGAAACTGGACTTTTCTTGGCACCAATCTCACTGTTAGGCTCTGCTTTGCCAAACAATGTTATTTCATGGTGACTCGAATCCTATTGGAGCAAGAGACAGACAATGCTGTGGCTTAGAAAGAATGTAAACAGAGAGGGAGGGAAGCTTCAAATTGGGCCGGGAGTCTCCTGGAGAATAATTAACGTGACATTTCCCTGACATTTAGTTGGAGGTATAGTGGAGGATCCTGAAGAAAGGGAGGAAGGAAGAGAAGATATGAGCCAGTGAGGGAAATAGAGACAGGAAGGATGACAGGGCAGAAGATTTTACCCTGCAAGTGTCGACAAATATTTAATCTACTACTTTCTTGTGTTGCTCTATGCGAACATTTGAAAAGGGGAACCAAGCAGGAGTGCGATTACACTGCAGCAACTCAAAAAGACCTACTCTCATGTTCATTACCTACTCCTTCAGTGATGATAAAATTATACTTTCGTTGCTTGGCAACCGTTTGTTTTGTACTTAACTGTACCGTTGGCCATCTGTTTATGGGCTGTAACATACATTTCCATCTCTGACCCCTGATAGGAGCGCAGAGCTGATGAGCTGTGGTCAGAGATGGTCCGCCCGACAACCCACAGTGTGCTCCAGCTAATTAGGAAACGACTAAGACAATACATCAACCCCTATCAGTGCTTTTAGTAGTTTGGTCTGTGGTTCGCATTGCCCTTTCAAGCTAATTAGGAATTGATAAACTCTGCCTCTTGCGGTGTCATGGTAGCTCTTTTTTCTGTAAACCTTCGCTCTAGGCTTATAATGATGCCAAAAGAGTAGATGATGAATACCTTTTTAATGGAACTCACTGTATCCGCTTATCAAAAGGTTGTTATAGAGAGCTATACATTCTCAAGAAACAATAAGCACAATCACTTTATTCAAAAGGTATAGCACCCGTCTTCGTTACGCACTTCAAAACGTTCCTCCAGTGATGCTCTGATAAATTGCAGATATCAAGGTGCGATAATGGAGACAGCAGCGCATGGTCAAGTCAGAGTGGTCATCTCCTTTTTGTAGGCTACAGCACTTTCTCAGCTCTAACACAATAGACATTGATTTTAAATCGCTTTGATTCCCACGAAGAAGACGTTTCACCAACAGACTCGCAGCACTCATCTCAGTCTGTTTGTGGGGTAGAGCTGACAGTTCTCACCACAGAGCATCACCCAGCACACACTGCTAATAGTTTCATTCCTATACATTTCCCAAACAAGGCACTCCACTCACTTTAAAAACAGAGTGGGAAAGAGACAGCATCTCCTTTGATCCCTTCAATCCAACCTGGAGGAGTGATCAAAGGCTGCTCATGTTTAACACTGCTGATGCCTCCCAGTTTGTTGTTGCAGGTGTGGCTCTCAGAGAGGCCTGCTGAGGCTAACTCGGTCTTTTTGCACTGAGTAAAGGTCGGATATCTAATAGAAGTCAGCATGCTCAGGCATGGCTTTCCGATTGAGAACTACAAGCTGACTAACAGAAGGGTGAGAACATAAACAATGAAATACTATAGGGACATTAAACATACAGATATTACTGAGAGGCTGGGTTACATGCTCATTCAACCAAATAGGTCAAAACCTTAATACAAACATTATAGCAAGTTATTTATTTTTTTAACCTAAATTCTTTGCTAATAAATATTTGTAGTCCGACAAATCAATTAGCTGGCTTAGTTATGAGATAACTGTTACAGAAGCAAACTCAATTAGTCTGGGTTTCTATCATTTCTCTCTTACTGCAGCTGTTTGTTCAAGTGTGCAATAATGACATGTCACACAACCATCTGCTATAAATGTCACTAGCATCCTCTGTTGATAAAGAAAAGTGCTCCTTACATGCCTTGATTAATCCGAATGATTCAGACAATTCTAAATCATTTGTGACTTGTTGTTCATTCGCACAGCAATATAATTCAATATATCAGCCTTCTGCCAAATATCTCAAATGCAATTGGCTCAGGGCAATGCTAGGCACAGAAACACGTCTAACAAAAATAGAGAGGACAATCAAAAGGAATTACTTTTATATATTTCATGTTGAAAGCAAGGGCAGCTAAGTAAGTGTGTGTGTGTGTGTGTGTGTGTGTGTGTGTGTGTGTGTGTGTGTGTGTGTGTGTGTGTGTGTGTGTATGTGTCTCAATGCTTTTGGATTTGTTCATCAATGTGATTGAAGGTGTTTTTGTTTGCTGTTTTTATAGTTGTGAACAGATATACTACTATACTAGTAAATGATAGGCTATAGGAATGGACTTTTGTTACAACCCTGGTAAGCATTACAGGAGATGCATATAATGGACTTTGTGTTGTATTTAAGATGCTTGAGAGTGATGTATCCTGAGAGCTGCTTTCACAGTGAGAGTCATGACATGCTTTTTCTAGTTCTTGAACTATAATGGAAGATAATATCGGACACATCCCACACTGGTAAATCACAGCCGCTGGCTTATTCTATAAGTCCCCCTCTTTTCTTTGTGTTCCAACCTAGCAACAATCACAATATCAAGCCCAAAACACAGAGGTGTCTTAAATTGTCTCATGTTTTGCAACTGTTAATGGCTTTTGAAATGTGTTGATAGGTCTGAAAATTGCAATCTATGCACAGTTGCTCATATTACTCACACTAAAGCTTAGCAGCAGTGCACATTTTAAGATTGTGCTCTTGTGGACAGGCATTTTTATGGTAGGCCAATTCAAAAAAATGATGTGGTCTAAAAACTAAAACATCCCATCTTCATTTCAAAATGCTACAAACAACCAGAGGCAATTACTCACTAAAAGAGAGAGAGTATAGCGTGTATCATATATCAATATGTCAAAGTAAGAAACACTTTTAAAATAAGAGTCTGCAGCCATGCTAGCATCTCTGTGACATTATATATTTAGGCTAATTGGTGCATTGAACTAAATGTTGAAATGTTAACACACTCACAATGATGGTGCTGACATAACGTGAGCAGGTATAATGTTCACCAATTATCTTAGTTTAGCATGTTAGCAACATATGCTAACTCACCCTCACAAAAAAGGATGATGGGAATGTCATTATGTTGATTAACCTTGGATTGCTCCAACCAATTCCACCCCAACTCTCAACCCCAACTCCATTACCTTTGCTGCAACAGATGAGCCGGGCTTTTCCAGGAGATCCCAGAGTTTCTTACGTTTTTCTGCACAACAGGTGTTGTCAAATTCGTCTCCCTCTCTGTCTTTCATATTGTCGGCCTCTCGTTTGAGCTCCTCATTCATTTGCTCTTTTTTCTGGTGGTACCTCGCCTGGCAACAGGACTCCAGGTAGATCTCGTCGATGCCCCAGTAGTCAAGCTCTTGACTGAAGGACAGGGCGCACATCTCTTCCATCATGTGCAGCTTACCTGTGCGGGAGAAGTTCAGAATTGAAGTAAAAGCCCCAGGATGTCGGTCAAAAAAGTACTCATTCTCCTCGAGGTTGTAGTCATCGCACACTTCCATCAGAGAATCATGGGTGTTGCAATCTCTTAACTTTCCCAAACGTGTCCGTGGTAGCCTATCTAACGTTCGCCACAAGACCTCATGCGGGAGACCCCCAACATTCAGCCGTACTCTGCGGTAACATGACTTGCTGCGAATGATGTCCACCGGTTCAGGTGGTAACGATGATGTTGAGCGGGAGGCATCTTTGTTCAAATCCAAGGACTTCTCCATGATGACTTTAGGTTGAGGAATCAGGCAAACATCCAGGGCTATGGACTACAGTTGGTCCTGTTTCCTTTCATTATTGTATCTAAAAGTTGACCCAAAAAAAAGCAAAAGCATTAGTACTTGCCCTAAAGTTCACGCCCTCATCATTCAGCTTTGAAATAATGTTGTAAATAATGTTGTGCTGGGCCCCATGGGCAGGTAATAAGAGATTTAAGAAGAAAAGTAAAACAATTGAAATACATTTGTATCAAAAACAACTTTAGATTTGTTTGATTTCCTAATATTTGCTTTTTCATTATGAAGTATTGAATACTCTACCCTTTCAGGTCTCTACAATATTTAAATCAAACAATCCAAAGGGGCCAAATCCATTATTGGTTGAACTGCTCACATTTCATGTCATCATGATGAGGGGTGCAAAAAACCACTACTTTCAAGAAGTGTTTTTTTTTATTATCCTGGATATACCTGGTTTATCAACATACCTGAATATAGTGAAATATGCATAATATTAAATCCAAAGTAAATGTACACTTATATATGTTTCTAGTGACTTATTGTAAGAATTCAAATCATTGGCGTAAAGGCAGAGAAAGAAATAACAGAAGATTGTTTTTATTATTATTTCAGGTTAGAAAATGATTTCCTGAATTAACAATCTTAGATTGGGATTCTTCAGATAAATATAGAGATAACAAGAAAAAACTGTTGAAACATTAATTGTTATTGTTCTGTTATTGGCTAAACATGAAAAGAAGACTAATTTAATGGAATCCTAATCCAAAATCTACTTTTCTGCCAATATAAAAACGACTTTAACACCTCTGGGAACTCAGCATGGAACTGCAGGCTGCTTTAGAAAATAATTTAACATCATTGGCTTAAAGAGCTCCTGCATGGGGAGTGAAATGTAGCACTTACAACTGAATTATTATCTCTGGATTTTCAACTGATATATACTGATAAATAACTGCTGTTATTTATTTGTAATCATGTCCCTAATCTACAATAAACATACTCTAAGATGTGTGTTCTTGAGATAACTCCAGATATCAGTCTGAAGAATCTTACATTTATATTTGGGGCTGAGTAGAAAACATTTGGAACACCTTGAATTCTTTCTACCAAAACCTTTGAAACACTGACTTATTATTATTTTTCCAAGACTTCTTCTCTATGGGAGCTGATGTAATGTTATGACCAACAATAACGTCGTTTTCTTAATGAGTGTTTGGGCTGGTCACTGGCCGTGTGACGCCCATGCAGTGCTGTGGGTGGGGACGCAGGACACCAGTGATGATGAGTGTGGTACAAAGTGAGCTCTGTCCACTCTAATGGTGCTGAAACACCAGGAAGCGCTGTTCACTGCCTGAATCACGGCGAGCTCCCATGGGGGGAGGCAAGCTGACTGAGAAGAACATATAGCCTCTATCATCTCCTGTAGAAACGTACGTCCCCAAAATCATCTTATTCTGATTTGATACGTGGCAAGAGCAGCACATGTTTGCATGCTGATCATTATTTTGTATCTGATGAGAGCTTGGAAGCCCTAAACACCTCGGGCCTTAAGATGTGATCAGTGGTCGCTGTCACACAAAGTTTCTAACACTTTAACAACACAATCAGGCCTGAACAATATGTCAACATACATTACAAAAAACGTAGGAAATAATATCAGGAACACAAGATATATGAGGATGGAGACATTGTTATGTAGGCTTTTGAGCATGCAGTAACAGGCTGCGGGAAGCAGGGAAAATACATGTTAATTTTAAGGAGCCTCCACCCTCCTGTTTTCTTGAAATCAAGGCTTCGATAACACATTTCAGCAATAAACCAAACACTATATAAAAAAACCACAAACACAGTGTGTACCCTACACTGTGATATTATGCGCAGCTTAATTGAGATTGAAAATAAGCTTATTAAGATAGGCTATTTAATCATCTACAACTGCAATATTGTGAATGCAAATCCTTAGTCGTTGAGCATTTCTCTGTTTTTCGGAAGGCTGCCTGCTCCATATCGGTGCAGTTTAAATGCACAGTAGTGTCAATGTACCATTGACAACACATTACAATTGATAGGTTAATGTAAGTGAAAATATGGAAATAAGCTTACAAACAATACCGTAGTGAGTTGTTGTCATCCTGCACTGAATCAAACCAGCACGTAGCGCTCTGTGAACATACAATCCGCTGGCACAAACGGAGATGAAGCATTTAAAAAAGGAGGCGTCGTTATTGGTTTACTATTGCCAGGGTCTAACCCAATCCATTTCCCCCTCCTCTGCCTCCGACATGGCAGAGATTTCCTCAGCACGATCTACTGCTCACCCGCCGGTTTCCTGCTCTGCATTTCGCACCAGTGGTTCGCCCGAAGATCAACAAGTCTGCCGAGAGCCCATTCGGACACTACCTGTGTTCCAGTCAGCTGTGCGAGGCGGCGCCGCATCCTCTGAAGGTGGGTCCATGGCAGCGCAGCGCTCTCCTCCACATCTTATTAACTCTTTCAGCACCGCTTGTGTGTACCACCTGAAATAATGGCCACTGTTGTTGTCTTCAGGACGGGGTGTACTGTAAGAAAAATAGAATTATGTAATGAAAACATTAAACAAAGAAAACATACTTGTATGATCTCGGGTTGTATGGTTTAAAGGCACCTCAGCAACAAAGGAGCCCCAATTAATGGTAAATGTGAAGAGAGGATTTGAACAAACATCTCATATGGAAGTACATTTCATGATGCTAAATATGAGGGTATGGCATTACCCTTCTCTTATCATCACATAGGGTATGAAAGTTCCCCTACATTACATGCATGAATGATGTAGTAGCAAGAACTCTACTGAAAATGCAAATTGGGAATGATATAATTGAACTGTTTATCTGTAGTAGTTAGTTTTAACTATTTCATACAACATAAGGTTAGGTAATTCATTAGTTAGACCGTATGGTAGAGCATTGATTAACAACATATTGATCGAGGCTTTCCAAAAGGTAGCAAGACATATCTAGGGACGTAGGAAACATGAGATCTCCTATACTTCACTTACCCTTCAGGTCTACTTCCAGATAGTGAGCTGGACGGTTTTCAATTTCTGTAAATGGTCTAAGCATCCGAGTGAAATAAAACAACAAGCTAAACATAGGTTTGAATGAAGCATAGAGTGTATGGAAGAATAATTGAAAATTAAAAGTATGTCAGGTTTACTTTTTATTGAAAATATGAATAACAATCAATTTAAAATATGCAGTCAGTGAATAAAACGCTGAATAAATAGTGCTACATTACGCATAAGGAAAAGCTCAATACAGTTATTTACAATTAATCAAATTATCAAGTCAAATTTCATTTTGTGTGTTCTTTAGTCGGTGCCGGACCTGCAGGTCTCCGTACGGCTGCAGCATCCCGAAGCCGTAGCGGTTCGTATTGACTGGTGGCAGTTTGTCCTCTGGGTCACACATCTCCAGATCCAGATGGGTCAAGAGCAAGATGACAAACCTAGAAAAAACAGGCATCAGCAGTTTAGAACAAGTGTTAAACCATCCACTGGTAGACAGGATTGTTAGACAAAATGAATGTTAGTTTTTCAACATTTAGTGCATTTATTATGTGAAAATCAATCAACCCTATCAAACCCAATCAAAATCAAAATCAATCAACCCTAAGAAATTAACAGCAAACAGCCTCAAAATTAGCTATTTCTGAAATATTCCCAGTTTACACACCAACTAACCCATTCCCTTTTGTGATTGTTGAGGATTACCAGTAGTAAACGTAATGGTATGATTAACCCTTAACCAACTGGATATGATGTCTGACAGACACACACTGTCCCGACTGACTGCTAATTATCCTTAGCTGTTTTCATATAGTTCATTGCAAGTATAAGCAATTACCATACAGCTCGTTGCTAATGATCGAGGTCATGAAAGCAGGATGTACATGGTAATAAGGGAGAATGTTATGTAGAGATGGATTTTGCCCATCTGGTAATTGGGGTGAAATTGCAGGAAATGCTTTGATCAGGGATGTATCATTCTTTTAAACTTAAGTTACACCATGGACAAAATGAAATTGAAAAAGAAAAAAAAGGCGTAGGATTTTTACACTCACTGTTTAATGGCCGTAACAGCAAACTCTTTCCCAACGCAGATGTTGCTCCCTGCACCCCAGGGCATGGTGTAGTACTTCAGCCTTTTTCCGTCTTTGTAGAATGTATCCTTCATTTTCCTATCAGTTAAGAAGCGATCGTACTTGAAAATCTGTTTAGACGAGACAAGAAAAAAACATAAAGGCATAAGATGTGTGCATTCTACTATCGTGCACATTGACCGTATATATCCTGCTCTGTATCTTTTGTTACAAATGGTATTTAATTATCACCTAACCGTTCAAGATAAATCATGTGAGGAACATTGGGAATTGATCTCTCTCTCTCTTGCTAGTCAACTCCTACTTGTTTCATTTGTAGGCATTTAGCAGCTAATCCCAAAGGATGTATTCTGTCTGCTTAATCCTGCCTCCTCAAGAGTGCTTTGTGAAGTACAATATGGTTTTAAAATACACAATGAAGGTAAACAGCTATATGTATCATGACTGTTAAGGCTCCTTATCGAACAAAGTGTTACATCTCTTATCACAAGAACAGTTTTACATGTTGATGTTGTTAATGCCCTGGTCTCTCTCACACAAAATCACCTGTGGTTCTTGGTGTATCTGCGGGTCCATTTGAGGGCTGAGGAAGGGGAACAGACACACGATGTCCCCCCGTCTGAGGTGGTACTCCTGTCCGTTGGCCATCTGCAGGACTTTGCCATGCACTACCTCTCTGCGGATCATCACCGCAGCCGTGAGTCGCAGGGTCTCGCTCAGAACGCTATCTGTAGAACGGAGAGGACAGCCGAGGGGATGGTGTCAGAGGGGTGTCAGCGAGAGTTATATCAGTGAAGCCCCCGGGCTTAATTTAGAGAGGCACAAACATTTTCCCCCGACATAAATATATATGGAAATCATTATTTAATTGAATCCCACATCAAACTTTAATTGTTACTGTGTCATTGTGAATGTTTCAGACTGATGCACTTATCTTCTTGTTCCTGACAACAACAATTTAAATAGGCCTTTGTTTGAACCTCAGTGGACTGGCTCGACCCCAAGTTAAAGGCGTGAGGAAGTGAAAAGGAGCAGCTAGCAGGCGTTACGTACCGAGCACAGGTGTGCTGTGTGCTTCCAGCGGGTTGATGGGGGGGCGCTGCAGGGAAGTGTCCTGCAGAGCAAGGCCTCTGATCTCTGATTTAACTGCCTCCATGGCCTCAGGGTGAGTGAGCAGGAAGCCAAGGAGCCAAAAGGCAGCAGGTCCAGCATTGCACTGAAAAAGAAAAAACAACTTAGCACTAATTCAGTATATACGTTTCTAGTTTAAAAAAACTGTGCAAAAGTCGACTTTTGTATATTTAAACTAGCAATGCAGATATACTTCTGATTGATACTGATTATTTAGTTTTGGGAAGATAATGTTCTGCTGAGCTTTCTGTAATGCTGCTGTCTGAATATGACTGATATGAGAAAGTCCCTGAATCAGTTGGCAGTTTGTAGACACTGCTGTCGGCCTCTCGGGAGGAGACACCTGAGCCTGTCAGACAGTAATTGCTATGGGTTAAGGGAGCTGTTCTTTCCACCCCTGCATGTCTCTGGTCAGCTCTCCATTGACAGCCAGGACAAATACCCAAAAGTGACCAAATGTGAATCACAGTGACTTTCCAACTTCTTACATCTTCAGATCAGCAAAACTGATGCCATAGATAATGACATGAACACGGTTACCAGGACCCAAAGGGGTATTTTTAAGGGAATAAATTGGCTTTTGGGAAAAATACTTTGAGCGTTAGATAAGAAGTTTCATGACACTTGCATAACGTTAGGCTTACGATGTTACTGTAGATGTTTTTAAGAATCACTTTTTGAATAGAACAAATTAGATATCCAGGGAGGGAGGGTTAGTGCATTGGTGTTCAAATCAGGGGGGCACAGGTTCAAACCCCACTGCAGTCAGCATGTCGTTGTGTCCCTGGGCAAGACACTTCACCCCAAATTGTTCCTGTAGGGATTGCCCACAGTATTGAGTATGTAAGTCGCTTTGGATAAAAGCGTCTAACAAGTAACATGTAATGTAATGTCAGTGAGCAATCTTTAAGGGTGCTTGTTGGCCATTTTTGTTATCGTCAGAGTCAGGCTAGCCATTTCCCACTATTTATGCTAAGCTAACTAGCAGCTGTCTCAAGCTACATGTTTAGTGTATACTCATGAGAGTGGTTTCATTGTTCACATCGAACACATTGCAACTCTGGAAATGTGCATATTTTCCAAGAATGTCAAATATGAGTACTTTAGGGTATAACTACTGGGAAATGCACTAATATGGCCAGTGATTTGCTTTATTTTCCAAAAAACAACTTTCTAATGATAATCAAGACTTATTTGTGAACTAAAAATACATCTCTGAGATTCAGAGTGTAACAAAAACAAGGTCCTTATCTCACCTAAAAAGGAAAACAACCAATAACTCAATTTGAGTCGATGCTGTATATGTTTCAATCAATAACATTGATTGTTTCTAAATAAAACATCATCCAATAGCTTCTGCAGCACTCATGAGGAGGTGGTAGGTGGCTCGAGTGAAATCCTAGCACTGCACTCTGAACTACCTCAGTCTGCCTGTCACACATAAGCCACATTGACTCTGGCAGTTCCCACTGGACTGCCAGCTAATGCCTCTATTCTCTGCAGCCGTGCTCCAGTTTCCATCCAGACTGAGACTGTGTGCTCCAATATCCCAGCAGACACGAAGAAGCACAAGCAAACAGTCTGGAGGAATAGAAGTCTTTCCCAAACCAGCAGAGCCTCTTGAAGAGCCTGAGGTGGGTCGCCTAGTAGAAAAGGATCCTCTGTGTTACTGGGTGGCTGTCTAGTGCTCCAGTGAGACTGGCAGGTAGACAGAGGACTGAAGATATTACAGCCAACATGTAGCATAGCATACATAAGGACATTCAAACAGCTCACTGTCTCCCCCACCTGGAAACACTGAGCAATGACACCCTTTGTTCTGAACTTGTCTGAACTGGTGAGGTTGAAGAAGCACACATTCTTTTTTCACACCTGTTCAAATAGTGTTAATAATGGAGACTTTGTCCACACTGAGCCCAAGAAGATGGATTTGTGTGTGAGGTGTTAAGTCTTGCACAAGACTAGCTAAGTATCCAAGACAGTTTTATTAAACAACCTTCTTCATACACAAAGGTTAAATAAACAACTTCAATACAGCTGCAGTGTGAGCAGCAGAAAACCTGGTTGTAAGCACAAATCCTGCGTGCGAGTGCATGTCACTCTGTAG